CAGTTGATTTTCCATTTTGGTTGCTTGAAATTGGACTCACACTCAGATCCAATCTCTTAGCTGCTTCTTGTATCATCCCTCTGCTTGCATGTGTTCTTTGCTGATTTTCTTCCAATGAAACAGTGATCTTCTCCACACTAGCTACTGGAGTTTTCTCTGGTTGCATGTTGGTTTTAGCTAAGTTTCTACCCCCAGCTAAAGGCTGCAACCGTGGTCTTCCTCTAGGTCTTCCTCTTCCCCTGGCCATTTCCATGGTGGTCGCCCGTTAGACTAACGTGCGCCGGTGGGCTAGTAGTTAGAGAGAGAAACTAGAGAGAAGTCAGAGTGTTGAAAAAACATGTTGTGAGCTCATCTCTGTTTCAATTCTAATTTATGAAGAAATTCCTAATAAGAGCGATTTCTCCTTTAATACGAATCCAAACTAATCGGACCATTTAGCTTTAGACTAGTTTCGGACAAGCACATTATCTTACTTGTACACTAAGTACTTCTCGAACTTATCAAGAAAGTAAATCATACTCTGATCTTAAAGTGTTAATGTCTTGTCAAAATTCAACGGTTAGATTTGGCATTTTGTTATAAGAACTATTTGAAGGTAATTGTTTTCTCTCTTTTTTTTTGATTGATAAATAGCTTCTTTTTTTTTTTTTTTTCTTTCTATTGACCATACTATAGGTTTGATCCTGTCTATTTCTTATTGATTGTTTGATATGTTGTGTTAATTCCGGGATTGTCAATTTTACTCCTTTATCATGGATAACTTATCCTAGGATTATGATTCCACCATCTTATAGGTATAAGTTCCCGGCAGGGGCGAAGCCACCTTTTGCTGAGGGTGGTACCCTTCGCCTGAATATTACGAAAAATTACACTGTGCATATAAGTAAAATATTGATTTTAGATGTATAAAACATATATTGAACATCCTTTGTCGGGATTTTTTTTACTTCTTTCAAGTCTGAACATCCTTGGAAACATTTCTGGCTTTGCCACTGGTTCTGGGTACTATTTATCCTAGTATTAATAACCAAACAAGGAATAAAACGGTACTAAATATTTATCCCATGATTACTACTCCTTCCCAAGTTTAAAAAAGAAAACATATTTTGCATCTCTTGAACAAAAAGGAACCAGCTAACATGAGCAAGGTTGTGCAAGATCTAGCACCAGTAATAGAGGAAAAAGCATAGAAACCAGCGTGGACTTCATTATTTGCAGGTAATCGCAGCTCTGAAAATGGCTTGAAATTGAGTTACATACCACCAAAAATTGTAGAAGGTAAAACAGTGGTCCAACTCGAGAAAGAGGATGTGGAGAAGGAAGTTAAAAAATGGAAATGCGCTCTAATTTTGTATGTAATTGGGGAAACACCGGGCTATAACTACATGCATAGATTTGTAAAACATAGTTGGAACCAAGTGGCAGAACCAGAGGTATACTATCATGATGAAGGCTACTATATTGTCAAGTTCCAATCTATGACTGATATGAATGAGATACTGTACTCGGGCCCATACACAATTAACAATAAACAACTTATTTTGAAGCCATGGACGGTTCATTTTGATTTCACCAAGGAATTTCTCACTGAAATACCTCTGTGGGTGAAACTGCCTAACCTGCCTATGAGTTGCTGGGGAGGGCAATCCTTGAGCAGGATTGCAAGTGCTATTGGCAAGCCATTATATGCAGATGAATGCACTTCAAAACAAACAAGGGTCTTTTATGCTAGGATGTTAATTGAGATCAATGTTACTAGAGCATTACCAACAAGTGTCACAGTATGGGAACCAGATGGAAGACAATTTGAACAAACGATAGCCTATGACTGGAAGCCTGAATTCTGTGAAGAATGCCTGAAGATTGGTCACTCTTATAAGAAAGATGAGAATGTGCACAACCAACATGAGCAACCTAGAAGGAGAAGGGGACCAGTTGCACCTCTTAATGTACAGGCAGGCCCTCAACAGGCAGAAAAAGTGATACAGGAATGGAGAGTGAAGAAGATTGCAGACATAAAATTCCCTGGAACTGAGTTGTCCCAGGGAATTTCCAACTCTGGCCACAAGTATACTGAGAAGCAATAGAGCAGGAGAATACACAGGTGGAAAGGGGATACAACAGTGCTTGCCCATGGCAAATAGTGGGCCACCTATTCTAGTTTAATGACTTGGGTGATATGGAATGTGAGGGGAGTAAATAAGAGATATAAACAAAAAGAATTAAAGACATATATACATAATAAGCAAATAAAGTTAGTTGGGATTTTGGAAACTAGAGTAAAGGAGAGTAGAGCCAACAGGGTATTCAAAAACATTTTATCAGGTTGGGAAATGCAGAACAACTATCAAAATGCAATCAATGGGAGGATCTGGCTGGCATGGGACCCTAGGGTATATTATATAGATGTTGAAAAAACAGATGCTCAACTAATTCACTGCACAGTAAGGGGAAGAAGAGATGGATTTGAAGCATGTCTCACACTAGTGTATGGTTTCAACACAATTGAACAGAGGAAGGCCCTATGGAGTAGCTTAAATGATATATCAACACAAGTGACAAAGCCTTGGATAATTGGTGGAGATTTCAATGCTATGCTGTATACTCAAGATAGAATGTATGGTGATCCAGTAGCAATGAGTGAAATGGTGGACTTCTCAAACTGTATTCATAATTTGTTCCTAAAAGAACTGGCATGGAAAGGAGAGTACTATACCTGGTCCAACAAACAACAAGGTGATGACAGGATTCTAAGTAGAATTGACAGGGTGTTTGGAAATGATTTATGGATGTCTAACTGGGGGCATGTATGCACTGAATATGATGTACCAATGATATTCTCACCTATGTTGCTGCACATCAAGACCATGAATACTAATACCAAACCTCCTTTTAGATTCTTCAATGTATGGGCAGACCATAAGGAATTTGGAAATATAGTAAAGGCTATATGGAATAAAAGACTTGCAGAAGATAACATGGAGAACATATGGAAGAAGCTTAAAGCTCTGAAGCCTCTGTTCAAGAAACTAAATGATGAAGAATATAAGGGAATAACAAAGAGAATTGAGGATGCAAGGAACGACCTGATTACAGTACAAGAAAGGATACAACAACAACACAGTGACAGCTTGCTAGATCAAGAAAACCAAACTCTCCAACAGCTAGAGAAATGGTCTCTAATTGAAGAGAGTCTTCTGAGGCAAAAAGCAAGAGTCAAATGGATTAAACTGGGGGATGGCAATAACAAGTATTTCTCTGCCATTGTAAAAGAGAGAACCCAAAAACAGATACTGGAGCTTATTACTGAGGATGGAAGAAAGGTGACCAATCAGGCTAGCATCAAAGAAGAGTTCATAAGATTTTATAAGAACCTGATGGGGATTTCTACAAAAACACTACCAGCAATCAATAAGGAAACAATGAAGAATGGGCCTAAACTCAATCATGAACAGCAGACAAGACTGATTGCAGAAGTGACAGAAGCAGAAATATATGAGGGTCTATGTGCTATACAAGAGGATAAAACTCCAGAAGTTGATGGATACAATTCATGTTTCTTCAAGAAAGCACGGCTAATACTACAGCAGGAGATTGTGCAAGCAGTACAGGAGTTCTTTACTACTGGGAAAATGTACAAAGGTATCAACTGCACAGCAATTACCCTGGTTCCTAAAGTGAATATCCCTACCACAGCAAAACAATTCAGGCCTATTGCATGTTGTACTGTCCTCTATAAGATAATATCTAAAATACTAGCAAGCAGGCTGCAAGGAGTTATTTCTAGTGTGATAAATGAAGCTCAGGCTGGATTCATCCCAGGAAGGAAAATATCAGATAACATTATCCTATCTCATGAACTTGTGAAGGCATACACCAGAAGGAATTCTTCCCCAAGGTGTATGATCAAAATTGATCTAACCAAAGCTTATGACTCTGTAGAATGGATATTCTTGGAACAGGTAATGATTGAGTTGGGATTTCCTATTAAGTTCCTCCAATGGGTGCTTACATGTATGAAGACTGTATCCTACTCAATTATCATCAATGGAGAACCTGCTGAACCATTTCCAGCTGCAAAGGGATTGAGACAGGGAGACCCCATGTCTCCTTTCCTCTTTGCAATTGCTATGGAGTACCTGAGTAGAAGCTTGAATGGACTGAGGAAAGAAAAGGAATTCAAATATCACCCAAGGTGTGCTAAGCATGGCATAACTCATCTGAGCTTTGCAGATGATCTGCTATTATTTGCAAGGGGTGACATGACCTCAATAACTCAACTACAACACTGTCTTAATCATTTCTATGCAGCTTTAGGTTTAAAGGCCAATCATGAAAAGAGCTCAATTTTCTTTGGAGGAGTTACTCAGTTGGTAAGTGATGAGATAGTCCTGAAATTTGGTTACTCTAGAGGTACACTGCCAGTTAAATACCTTGGAGTACCCCTAACCACTAAGAAGATGTCCATAGCTCAATGGCAGCCACTTATTGAAAAGATGGTGGCAAGAATCTCTTCATGGACAGCAAAAAAACTCTCATATGCTGGAAGAATTCAATTAGTGCAATCTGTGCTATTTGGTATTCAGGCTTATTGGTCTCAACTGTTTCTAATACCTAGCAAGGTACTGAAGACTATTGAGGCATACTGCAGAAGCTATGTATGGTCAGGAGTTAATACTATCACAAGAAGATCTTTGGTGGCATGGGACAAATTGTGCACACCTAAAAGTGTTGGGGGACTGAACCTAATCAACCTTAAGCTATGGAACAAAGCAGCAGCAGCAAAGAATTACTGGGATCTAGCAAATAAAGAGGACAAGATGTGGATCAAATGGATTCATGCATACTATATAAAAGGGCAACAGATATCTAATATGCCAATACCACAGCAGGCATCCTGGCTAGTTAGAAAAATGATAGAGGCAAGAAGATCAGTGACAACAATTCATATCCAGCAAAAGCAGAATAATAGCATGATCAGATAGTTATATTTGGCTATGATGGGACAATTACCAAAGGTAGAATGGAAGATGTTCATGTATGGAAATGAAGCAAGGGCTAAAGCTAAGTTCACTATGTGGCTATACTTCTATGACAGGATGCTAACTAATCACAGATTGAGTAAATGGGGGATGCAGGTGGACAGGGAATGCAGTCTATGTCAAAAACATGATGAAAACAGAAATCATATCTTCATTGAATGTGAGTATACTAAGAATGTTTGGACAAAGCTACTGAAATGGATGCAAAGGCAACAACTGTGGGCAACATCCTGGGATCAGCACTGGCAATGGGCAGCTAAGAATGCAAGAGGGAAATCAAGTAAAGCAGGAATATTCAGAATGGTATATACAGAAGCACTTCATGAGATATGGAATGAGAGAAACCTTAGGATATTTGAAAAGCAAAGCAAGAAGGCTGAAGACTTAGCTAGGAACATAGCATGCATATGTAATGTTAGAGCAACAAATCAAAATAGGCAGCTTATACAGAATTTTCAGTTTTGATGTAAATATAAGTAGAGAGGAAATGAGTACAGTAGTTACATGTATAGGGGAGAGAGATACATCTCAAAGACAGTAGGCTGAGTAAGTAAGCCAACTGTGGTTTTGTAATGCTTCATTGGTGATTAATGAAAATTCCTAATTACCAAAAAAAAAAAAGAAACAGAGATGAGCTACAAGGCCAAAATCAGATAAAACTAAAATTTACACATTAATAATGAAAAATGAGCAGCATGCTAAATTAACAATTAATAATTACGAATATATCTGTGATTTTCTGCTGAACATGCTGCAACTTAAGTCAAGACTACTTTACGCGGACGTAAAATATAATTAGCATTTAACAATTCAAAAATTAACGAAATCTAATGAGTTTAATATTTGCATTTATTTCTAATTTATTACTTTAAAAATTTCTATCGTGTATCTTATATTACATTAATCATATATGAATTTGAACCTAATATAAACATTAAATTGTAAATTCAATCGCGCTTACATTGAAAATCCATTTCAGCTAGCTCGACTCAATGCCCAAGCGCTTCGCCTCGATTGAGCTCAACTCAGTACCGTAATAAATTGGCAAGACTCCCTCCGTTTCAATTTATGTAAACTTATTTCTTTTTTAGTTCTACTAGAAAAAATGACCTTTTTCCATATTTGAAAATAATTTACCTTTATGCAATGATATACAGCCACACAGAATATATGTGCCTAATTTTACACAAGTTCAAAAGTCTCTATTTTCTCTTAAACTCCGTGCTCAATCAAATAAAACGAAGGAGAATAACTTTCCACAAAGTAGCATAGGAATGTAGGAATTCAACATAAATAATTAAAGTGGGCACAGGCACAGCAGATCAAAGTCCACAGGGAATAAGAGTGAGAGACAACTCAGGAGAGTTGTTACTCAGATTCAACATCATCAAAACTTTCTTTCAAAATGATCAATGAAGTTGCCAAAACTCATCTGTAAGCCATTTTTCACAATACAATGGGCAACTTTCCACTAAGATTCAGAACAGCGTCGAATCTAACACCGCCTCTCACTGGTCACCAGGCAAACTCTTAATAATATCAGAATCACCTGCAATCCAGAAAAGTAAACAGGGAACGCGTAAGAAATCAACAAGACAATATTATATGTAACAGCAACAGGAAATCCACTAAGTGCCCACCTGGGTCAATAATGCTGAGGCAACAGACCCTGAAGTATTTACCACAGGCAGTCCCCAAATCTACGTTGTCTGAAACAAGCAAAAGAACTTAAGCATAAGAACAATAACTCAACTAAGAAACTAAAGCCCACACACTGCTCATCCAATGATCTCCAATCACAATTACAACTTACAATAAGGAGCTCAATGTTCAATTGATTCAAAATAACAACATTTCCATTACGCAGGCGTTTCACAAGTCACAACCGAACATAGTTAATTGATTATCAAGCAAAACTGTAGGAACAACAAACTAAATTTTTTGATTTCTTGAATTCAAGGTAAATCAAAAAGGTTGCACATTCTATACATACAAGGCAAGAGAAACCACACAAACAACCAGATATGCATCTGAGGATAAACTATTCTAGAGGAAGTCTACACCGTGCACCTTAAACTATCTGTTTATTTAATAGTTAGCTCAACAACAAATATGTGCCTTTTCCTCTCAACTCACTACATATAAGCTTGTTTTGCATCCCCAATACTATTTATGCTTACATATCTTTCCATTTAATCAATCACATAATTTTTTATGAAACTAATCAATCACATAATTAAGAGAGTACAATCCTTCGTAACATCATCTTAGATTCACTATTATGAGAACCTTTATTGAACCGACAGTAATCCAAATAAAAAATCTTACTAAACCAGTTAATTCGGACAGAAAACAAATGATACACGCACATACATATATATAAACGAACACAACAGGAAGTGGATCACTTCTTCATTACCATAAGTTGCAATAAATATCAGTAAAAGACCAGGGCACTTTGCATGCATGAGAGATATGTAGATATCTAAAATTATATAAACAAGGATATGGACTCACTTCCGTTGTAGTGATGAACTCCAACCTTTGCCAACATAGCATAGTACTCTATCTCGGACTTCCTGATAGGAGGGCAGTTGTTGGCAATGATAACAAGTTTTGCTGTAATACACAAAGCAAAATGCAGATACCGTAGTTACACTCCAACCAAGATAAATTTCTCTAACAATAGAAATCTACAATCAGGAAGTTTGTGCCCCCTCTTACATAGAAAAACAGCCCCGTTAATCTCCCAAAAGTTGTGTTTTTATATTCACATGTAAAAAAAAGAGATGAATTTTAAATTGCAAAGTTATATTGCCAAGAAAAACATAAATGCTATGATTAAAGTTACTCAACTAATCAAATTAAATAGGCAGAAACAGAGCAAACTGAACACAGAATTCGTGCAACTGAGCCCACCTACATTGGGATTTAAGTGATATATTGATCCATACAAACGCCAAATAGCAATCAACCTCACAAGCCAATTCTTTTTTATTTTACATTCAATAATATATGGCATGTGCTAAAATGAAAGAAATGGATATCTGATTGTCCATTTCAAGATAACACGGCATTTAAATGTTTGGAGCATTATGAGAAGAGGCAAGCGAGTGGCTTTCTGCTCTTCACTCGAAGCTCCAACCTTACAAGCCAATCTATAGTCACAAATTTCATTTTATCCTTGAACATTATACTCGTAAACTTGAAGCATAGTATATCATTATTCATTACTTATTTGTACATTTGCCAGCCCACAAACAAAGTAATATTACCCATGATAACCAAGTAATATTACCCATAATAAATTGCACATCAAATTCATAAATCATCATAATTTGACTATTGTTATTTGGATTGCCAAACTACCAATCAGATCATAATTTGACTATATTTTCTTCCAGTCAACTGACATATCATAATTTCGACTAGTTTTAACTGACTGACAATCTTTAATAGTAGTTGAGTTATAATTTAATTTTTTATTTAATTGGATTATTATTACTCCCTCCGTTCCAGTTTATGTGAATCTATTTCCTTTTTTGGTCCGTTCCAAAAAGAATGACCCCTTTCTTAATTTGGTATCAATTTAGCTTAAACTTACAATTCTACCCTTAATGAGAAGCTTTTGTAACCACACAAATACTCTGGGCCCCTTTTTGACTTGTTTAGGACCACAAATTCCAAAAGTCTTCATTTTTCCTTAAACTCCGTGCCCAGTCAAACAGGTTCACATAAATTGGAACAGAGGAAGTATTATTATTATTATTATTATTATTATTATTATTAAATTTTGGTATTATAACTCAACTACTATAATCTTGGTAATCCTCGTAGTATCTTGATCAAGTTTTACTATTTATTTATTACATAATTCAATAGCAATAATAATTTGTAAGGGAAAAAGATAGGAAGAGTAGTGTTTTGCTTTGTTATAATTTTTTTTCAAAAAAAGGATTAGGGGCATGTGAGAATATAAATTGTAAGTATTTATAACTACGCCCTTCCCATTTTCCAAAGGTCAAATAGATAAGCGTGCGTGCAATGTACTTGGTTCTGAGAATGACACACTGCACGCACATTTATTTATTTATATATATAGCCTTTCAAAAATGGGAAGGGTGTAGTAATAAATACTTACTGTTAATATTATTACCTGCCCCTATTCCTTTTTTTTTTTTTGGAAAAAAAAATTACTATTAATATCTTTTTTCCCTTTTCATTACAAATTATTATTACTATTGAACTACATAATAAGTAAATATTAAAATAGATCAAGATAATACTATAATTTAATAATAATAACAATAATAATAGTATTCTGCAATTGAATGAAAAATTAAATCACAACTCAACTACCATAATATAGAGGAATCATATAGCCTAAACAATTTGGGATTAAAACGTAGATATTATTATATACTCAATTCATAGTGAGTTCAGTACAGACCTTTGGAGCTTCTAATGGTCTTGAGAACGGTTTTGTATCCCAATGTATATTTGCCGCTCTTCATAACCAGAGCCAGCCTATTGTTAATACTCTCATGAGTCTTCTTCTGCAAAATTCACAACAAACAAACTCTCATTCAATATTTGATTTTAACTAATATGCACTATCAATTTTTTTAACAACATCAGAGTAATTTAACCTATTAAAGCAATATACTTACGTGCAGTTTACTTCTAAAATACCTTATACTATATTTTTTTACACCGTCAGTGCATTAAACTCATACAGTATTTACGACAAACAAATAATGTGCATTTTTTATGATCCGATTCGTAAACTAATATTGCTTTTAAAGAAGAGATTCTTACGGTTTTCTTGGCTGCAACCATGGTGGATTCTGGTGTGGAATCGGAGCCGGAGAAAATTAGAAGAAGCAAAATGCGTCGACGGCGGCGAGCAAACCCTGAAATGTGGGGAGAAGTTTACAATATATAACCGGACAAGCTGGTATGTACTCTAGGGTTTGGGTTTTTTGCTGAAGACTGATAAGCCCAAATTCTATAGCTTTCGTTTTCTAAGCCCAAACTGCCATATAAGTGAGTGTAATAGTGTCAGTTTTTGGGGGGGGGGGGGGGGGGGGGTTTGGGGGAGGTGGAGAGACTTTTTCTATGTATACACGATTTTAAATTTATTTACTTGATTTATCTAAAAAAATTATTTATAAAAAATAACTAAAGTTTTTTACAAAGTATATACAAATTCGGTCAAAATTTACAATTTATCTACAACTTAAATGCAATTTTTTTGTACTGAATCCGGTCAAAAGCTATAATTTATATACACTTTGTATACAATTATGTTGTTGTGTACGTATTTTGTATGTCGTTCCTACAATCGACATATAAAATATATACAATTTGTTTATATGTTTATCTTCGAGTTTCAATCTGAAATTTCAACCAAAACCACCTCGAATCTTCACCAAATTCTTCAAACTCTAAATTATATTCCCAATCATTTGCAACAACACCTAATTCAAACAATTAACGATGTAATCAAACTCAATTTTCAAATTGAAAGTTTTGAAACTTTTTAATGGTTGTCAATTGTGTTTAAATTCAAATTTTTATGCTTAGTTTTTATCATTGTTCATATCAGAAGTTTGAAACGAATATTCAGTCCTCGATAGCATAACACATTTGCTCTTTCGTCTTGGGTTCTGCATATTTGTATTAACTGGTGCTCGCAGGGAAAGCCGTTAATTATAAATTATTGAGATCCTTTTTTGAGTGAGATAAGTGGAATGGGAAGGAAGAAGAGGGAGAGAAAATGGGTAAGGTTGGTGTAAAATACATTAATTTGTACATAAATAATAGTAAATTATATACGCTAATATATTACCCCTGTAGAAAGGGTAAAAAAGATTATAATATAGTATAGATAGGTAAATATTTATTTTTCTCTATATTTTCCTTTTACGGAAATATCAATTTTGATGTCTAGATTACTGTTTTATTACGATTCTGATAACAACTACTATTTGATTATGTTTAACCTTCTACTAAGTAAATTAAGATCAAGTGGCGAAGTGAATAAAGATTAAAAAGAAGCAACCTATTTTAAAGGGGGGATGAGTACTACCCCTTTCTCATGCTATCAATTAATCGATTTGAAAATAGCACGGCCATATCGCTTTTCGTTTATTTTTACCACGAAAACATAGTCGCCATAATAAGAAGCAAGCGAAGCAGGAGTCCATTGATGAGAAGGGGGTGGGGAAAGCTTGAACCCAATTCATATGGTAATGAATATGAGCGCAATTGAAATTTCTGGGGAGTTATGCATTTGTGCATTTATAAGACTGGTTATCTAGGAGTAAAGCACAGTTTCAGTGCGGGCCGCGAGAGTGGTACCAAATCGAGGCAAATTCTGAATACTATTTTTTGATTGCAGCTAGGGCGCCGAGTGATGGTAGAATGACCAATCCAATTCCCTCATGCTGGCTTTCTCCAAGGGAAGTTTTGTCCTGTCCGTTAGGACTGGTCTAAATATGTGGGATCGATACATCGGTAGGGAAATTATAGGTTGAAAAAAGTTTTGTATTTAAGTAAGAGACTATGGGAATAAGGATAAAGAAGGCGTAATGGTGTTGCTGAAGTCTCTTAGTGCCATTTATTGAAGATACAGATATTTACCAGGGAATAAAGTCACTATTATACACATCTAGGGTGAGGCTGTTACACCATATATTTTCGTACGTAAAAGTGCGTTGTAAGCAACTTAATGTAGGACCAAAATGGGATCGTCTTTGAAAGTATATAAAGTAAGTTAATCATGTCACCTCGGAGGTTACAAATATTGAAGATCATGAACAACAAGTACAAAGAGGGTTGGAAGGTTCATAAGCTAAAGGAATTGAAGAAAATAATGTTTCGTCGAAAGTCGACAAGTTGGGAATGTTATAACATGTACTTTTGGAGTGAGACTAGGGTGCTTAATATGATAAGGAGGTTATGTTAGTCGTATGATAGTCGTGTGTTATGTTTTGAAGATAAGCGAGTTGTGAAACAAAAGTCGATGAAAGTCATCACAAGTTACGTTCATAAATTTTACTAAAATTTGGGTCAAATATAACTGCGATTTTCTCCCAATATACTTAGAGTAGGGGTTTTCTACCCATAAAATTAAAGATCTATGAGTCTATTTTCTAACACATTAAATCGTATGTCAATACAACATCAGAGTAGAGAGATGTATGTATTTTTGCGGGACTACGCAGACAGCTAGGTGACAAGTAGGTATGTCACCTACTTGCTTAAATGAGAGTCCAAAAATGGGCCAATTCGGGTCGTCCAAATAGACCTTCTAAAGGCGTATTTCATTCATATAATACACTAATAAGAGGGCACAATAACCAGACCTAAACCCCTGCAAACATCCTTCCAAAAATTGCCCACAAACCCTGCTTGATTTTATCTCCTTTTCAAGTTCTAGTTGGAGGTAAAATCTAGAGTTTGAAGAACCAAGATAGGAGCTGAGTTATTCAACAAACAAGGTAAGTTTACTGCTCTTTTTCATCTATTTTCTCTGCTGGAGATGTATGGAAAGGCATTCTATAATTGTAACAACTTACTGGACGGTGATCGAAAGTCATGAGTTCGAGTTATTCACTTGTAGCGGACTGTCTTGTGTTGCTATTGGGTTGCGTGTTTTCCTATAATTTTATGGAGTTTTGAAGGATAAAAGGGTGTGGAGAAATACCACATAAATGCAGGGTGGTGGGCTGGTCATTGTCATAACATTTTCGGGTCGTTTGACACTACTACGACGGTCGTTTTGTGTATAAAGATACTGGGTGTGTGTTGGGCTGGTTTGTAGTATTTTATGGTGTATATAAGGTTTGAAAATAATGTATATATGTTATTATTGTCATGTTCTTGTGTTGTTGGTGCTATATTGAATTTGGAGGAAGTAAGGATTATAGGGGAGATGCTGCCCGTTTTAATACAAAATAAGCTTATCGTTCGTTGTGCGATAGTTGTTCCTTTCGTAACATAGTGATAGTATTATTATTGTTGTTGTCTAAACCTTTCTTCATTTTGTCATGTTCCGATAACTACATGAGTTTGATAACGAGGCATAAAGAGAAGTTCGTATTCCTAAACTTATATACATTATCCTAGTCTCATAAGTTACAGTATTCTCTCTTATCGGGACTTTATATTCAGTTAAGTATTGTCTTTTTCCAGTAAAAAGATCAAAGGGTCTATATATACATACAGTATTACAGTATTTTCACCACCATCGAGCTATAATCGGTGGGCAAGCCCCTATTGGGCAACCTCTGATCAGATGGTAAGTTATATACCGAGTCTGTTGTGGTCGAGCGCCTATGAGCGAGCCCATAATGGCCAAGATATCTAGCCTAGTATGGCCGAGCACCTATGAGCGATCCTACTGCGGCCGAGCAGTTACACGTACCAAGCCTTATAGGGCTTGGCATTTATTTTACTTATTATACTGAGAGAGTTGAGTCAGTATCGGCAAGTAAGTATATCTCGAGATCATCTTTGACTCTCATTTACTTTCAGTTATAATATTATCAGTTCAATTTCAACTTTCAGTTATTTTATTGCCTTACATACTCGGCATATTATTTCTATTCCTGTTAATTGGGCCGAGCTGGCCCGTTCACAACCCGGTTCGACCTGGTTCAGCCCGGGTCAGCCCGATACTATAGCGTTTGGGGGCGGATGAGACGGGTTGGGCGGGGAGCGGGTTTTAGACGAATATATTTTGGTAACCGGTGCACCAGAACTCGCTTAGCCCGGTTACCCGTTAATGAGTTTTTACCGCGCTACAGCCCGCTTTCAGTTACAATGTTTTTTAAAAAAAAAATCTGGACCGTTGCCAATGGTCAAATTAAAAAATGACCGTTGGCCAATGTCCCTTTTTTGTAGAAATGACCATTTCGGCCTAGCCCCTTAAGAAAATAAGCCCCCCACCCCTAATATTTGATAAATTATAATTTTAACCTTTTAAACACTATAAATAGACCCCCTTCTTCTTTATTTTTTTCTCACAATTCACTCTCTTACTACTCTAATTCTCTCTTGATAATATTGATTATTGTTCTTAAATTCTCAATTACTTATTATTTCAAGTTTCATCAAATATTTAGTTTAGCCATTACAAAATTATTTTTTATAAATATCAAGTATTCAAGTGAAGTGTGGTATCAAGTTATCAACTATCAAGTATTGTTTCATCAATTGAAGTTTGATTTTGATTTTTGATATCAAATTTAGTGCGACATCCGGAATCATGGTATACTCGTTCCATCTCTTTCTCTTTCTTGGTGTATATTTTTATTTTATTATTTAGAATAATTTAATTTACTTAATAGATTTATTAAGAGCAGTCAAAAAAGCGTGCACTAGTAGGGGTGGTAGTAGTAAGAGTAAAACTTCTAAAAAATCAAGAGGTGGTGTTGGTTCTTCTAGTAGCTTTAGACATATTTCTGAAAGTTCACCTGAAAATTTAAATGTAGATTATGAGCGACCCAAGAAAATTCAGATGATGATTTATATGACATTCAATCACCTGATAATCTTGAAACACCACCAGCTACACCCGGTAATGCTAGTCAAACTCAAAATATTAGGGGTGGAGGTCATGGTAATACAAGTAGGCCTCCCCTCCCTATTAAGAGGAATGGAAGATTAATAAGTAAGTGTTAGACTTTTATTGAAAGACTAGAAGAAGATAAAGGTTGTGTAAGATGTAAAATTTGTAAGGATGTTTATAAATATGAGACCTGTAAGGGAGGGGGAACGGGTCAACTTCGTAGGCACATGGTAGAGCACCATCCTATTGATTGGAGAATAGAGGAGGAAGATGGGCAACAAAAACTTAACCTGGATACTGGGGGTTAATGGGTAAATACGATATTAAGAAAGATCGGGAAGAATTAGCTAAAATGATTATTTTAGGTTGTTAACCTTTTAGTTTTGCTGCTTCACCGTATCTTGTTACTTATATTCAAAGAATTTATAACCTTTTGTTTA